CCTATAAACTTGACAGAAGTGTATACTAAATTATCTAGTTTACTTTAAATTTTACAATCAATGGTCTTATTAACAAATTGAACTAAGCAAATTGTGTACAACAGAGAGATGCTTGTATGTGAAGGGGATAAGTTAGTTACTCTGGAAGCCACCAGTGACCCCAGCATTGGTGGAACTATATCGGGGTGGGACTGGTTAATAGAGGAATGGCCTGTGGGTGTATGTAGAGACTTGATGGTTCATGCTTGATTCCCCATAGGGATTGTGAATTTGAGGACTCTTTAGAAAAACCCAAAATGATCACTGGACTCATCATGAGGGCCTTCTCCCTCATCAGTTTAAGAATCTGGGGTACACTTCAGTCATCAAGGACAGGTATTTGAATATAAGAACCAAGGAAGGTCATTGAAAAGCCCAGTGGGGTCCTGTCTCTCCAAATTACACAGGTGGTGCATCTGTTCCCAAGGCCTAGGACAGCCATTGCACTGGCCCACTGGTAACATTTGCTGCTTTGGGAAGCTAGGAAGGATTCCTGCATGTTGAAGTGAGTAGCACCACTGAACTGTGATCCTGGCTATGGACTCTGGTGGGCAGGTTATAACTCCATCAGCCAATGTCACCTGCCATACTTCAGCACACCATTCTGCTGACCTGAGCTGAGATGGCCTTGAACTCACCAGGTAGCTGAGGATGAATGAGCTTTGGATCTTCCTGGCTCTACCTCAGTGCTGAGGTTACAGGCACACACCATCATGTTAGTTTGTGCAGTGTTTTTGCAATGCTGGGAATTGAACGCAGGCTTCTGTGCATGCTAGGCATACCTAGCCTATCCCAGCTTGAAAAAGAATTATTGAAAGTATTGAAGGTAAGAGCACTTTCTTCTCTTCCAATGGACCTGAGTTCAGAGTCTACCACCCATGTTGGGTGGTCCACAATGCCTGCAACTCCAGCTCTGGGGGATATGACATCCTGTTTTTGCTGCTACAGATACACAACATTCACATAATTAAAAAAAACTTTGAGTGATGGAGCTCAGTGTGATAACACTTTCTCCTAGAACTCTCAAGGCAAATGCAAGGGGATCTCTGTGAATTTAAGACCAACTTGGTCTATACAGAGTTCCAGGCCAGCCTAGGGCTATGCAGGCCCTATCAAATGGAAGAAAAAAAAAATGTTACTATACTGAAGGCTACTTTTTATCACAAAATGAATAACTATGATTATTGGAAACAAATTTTCCTGTATTGTTAGGGAAAATACACAACTTTCCAGATTATCAAATTTGGCAGGGTTTATCTAAATTAAGAAAGGACAGATGTCTGGGCTTAGGCTGACATCACAGCAAATGCACCAAGAAAGCAGCCCCTTCAAGCAGGTCTCTTCCAGGCATGCCCATGGTACACACTTCTTTTCTTTTCACATCCATAGCTGTCAGTAGTTTCATGATAAACTGCCACATTTGAAAGCACATTGAGCGTGGGTGTTTCTGCTGTACACAGCTGTTTTTAACTTTGTCTTTTTTTTTTTAAACATAGGAAGAGGACAATGTGAATGAAGCACAGCATCTGGTCCTTTAACTGTATAATGGCTTCCTTATTTTCCACCCACTGTTTTGATATTTACCTCAGTCAATTATCTGCAGCTAGCATAAAACTAGGCTTTTAAAATTCTTACCTCCTAGCTGGGAGGTGGTGTGCCTGCCTTTAATCCCAGCACTCAGGATGCAGAGGCAGGTGGATGTATTGTGAGTTCAAGGCCAGCCTTGTCTATAGAGAGAGTTGCAGGACAGACCCCAAAAGCTACAGGGAAACCTTGTCTTGACACCCACCTACACACACACCCCCAATCTCACCTGGTACATTTGAATTTTCCCACTCAACATAACCCTAAAAATTAAAAAATGGGGGCTTTCTAGGGCCTGGGTTGTTGCTTCAAGTACTTGCTTAGAATAAGTTTGCTCTCCAGCGTCCTCAAAACTTAAAACTTCACTTATTTGAAATTCATGCAAAAATACTTAAAATCACATAATACTCTGTTCTCCCACATAAATAAGAGAAAATAAGAGTATTGAATAAACACAAATAGAGCTGCCAGGAGGGCAGTGGTTACACACAATCTTATAATCCCAGCACTCTGGAGGCAGAGGCAGGAGATTCTCCTGAGTTCAATGCCTGACACTGGTCCACATAGATAGTTCTAAGCCAGCCCAAAATAAGTACAAATAAACACAGATAAAAAGTTATAATAGCAATTCTATCCAGTGTGAGAACACTGTAAAGTTATTTTCTCAGGCAGTTTAAACGACTCCACAGCATGTCAAAGTATACAGCAATGTTTTCATCTTCTACAGCAAGCCCTCGCTTCCAATCCTAGCTAAAACAAACAAGGTGCAGGATGAAAGTGCTGGTAATCTATTGACAGGTAACATCTTGAACAGAAATGACTTTGAACACTTAAGTGACAGGAGACTTTCATTAGTGATCAAATTCCCAACCATCCCATTTGTGATTCCTGGTCTATGCAGTTAGTTTGGAAGCAAACAAGGTAATTAATGTTGAAGTGGGGTATCAGTACAAATGGAACAGTCACTGTGTCAGATGATCCTTTAGAACTTGCTCAGAGTCTAATGAAACATGGGGGTGTCAGAGGAGCTCTGACCCTTTCTAAGGGGACAGTGAAATATACCAGGTGTCTGGCACTGAGGTGGATCTAGTCAGCTTCATGCAAAGATTTCCCGGACTTAACAGAATAAAATTCTCTATTTCCATTTCCATAAAGATACAGCTATTTATTATTATGTGGGGAAACACATTGGCATTCTTACAGCTGTGCCCTAAGAGTTTCCATTCCCCAAAACCCAGTACTGTATTCACACAGAACATTTTGCATATTAAACTCCAAATGGCACCAATTAGTTATCACAACCACATAGTTCTATGAAATTCAAGTTTCCAATGATCTTAAAAGACAAAGTAGTATTTTTGTTTGGTTGAGACATCAGTTATGGTCATGTAGAAAATCCTAACATAGCCCAGCATAGTGGTGCATGCTTTTGAGCCCAGCCCTTAGGAGGCAGAAACAGGAAGATCACTGGTGAGTTCAAGGCCAGCCTGGTCTTCATTGAGAGTTCCAAACCAACCAGGGCTACACAGAGAAACCGTCATTAAAAAAAGAAAGAAAGAAAAAAAGAAAAAATAATGAAAAATCCTAACACGAAAAAAACCTGTGAAAATCTGCAATGGTGATTATTTCCAACTTTTTAAGTATGTAGAGCTTTAAAGAAAACTAAAAAGAGAAAAATGATCTGAAATGAGTTAACTAAGTCAAGTTTTATAACCCTAAATCACTGCAGAAACCATGTAAGATTTTACATAATTTTATGTTTTAATATTACTTTTTATTCAGATAAGAAATAACCCTTAGAACCAATGGTAGAAACAAATGGCATCATGGACCAAAACCACAGCTGGAGGCTAGTGGGAAAATGGGTCCCGAACGTTAGATAATCAGTATAAAGCAGAGAATTTATGAACTTTAGCTCCCACCCACCTACATTTTCCTTTACTGAACAAACCAAATTAAGCATTACAACCTAGAATTCTCCCTAAAAGTTGTTTTTTTGTTGTTTTTGAGGCAGGGTGTCTCTACAGAGCTGGCTGTGCTGGAATTCACCTTGTTGACCAGGCTGGCCTTGCATACACCTGCCTCTTGCTCCCAGGGCAGTGATTAAAAGCATACACCAGCATTCCTGATCTTGTGTTTTAAAGTGCAACATAGCATTTGAGGAGTCACAAAAGGTCCCTTCCCTGTGCTTGAGGCATAATCCATCTTGCTTCAGTTATCCATTAAGTTACCAAAACCAAAAACAAAAAAAAAAAAAACCAAAATAACCCCATCAGGGCAGAGGATATTATTCAGTGGGTAGAGTGCTTGACTACTATGCACAAAGCCCTGCATTTGTTTCCCAAGACAGCATAAATTGGGCACAGTGACACACGCCTATAATCCCAGTCCTTGGAAAGTAGAGATAGAAGATTAGAAATTCAAGGTCTTCCTTGGCTACAAAACCAGTTCAGGGCACCAGCCTGAGCTGAAACTTATCTCTGTGTGAACCGAAACAAATCTCTGCTCGAAGCAGGCATTCTTGAGCAGTGAGATTTGCGTTCTCTTTCTAACTCCTAATATACAGAGACCCTGAACTCCAAGTAAATATCCAAATAAGGAGTTCTGCATTTGCCTTAAATCTCAGTGGCTCCTAAACCAGGCTGGTGGAGTCTGCAGGGGCCTGGAGTCACTTGCCTACTGCTAGGCTCCTGGGTGTGGGCCTTTCACCATGACTTTCACTTCCTGAACATGGCAAGTGGTGTTGCAGCAGCAAATTTATTCAGTTCTGGAATATGTTAAAAGTTCCATCATATCCTTGGAGTCCCAAAAAGATACACCCAAGTTAAATACTATGATGATAATTAGTTGTGGAACATATCTTTTCAGTGACTTTTGGATTCCTGCAGAATTGGTTTTAGGGAGGCTTCCTTCCATTTACTATAAACATTAGAGAATCTGGTGCCCAGTTATCCAAATTTACCTCAAATCAATTTTCCCAACTCATTTCTTTCCTCTAAATTGATTAGTTTAAGGAGTACATAAATTCAGTACATTGCATAGCACTCACAATCAAGAAACTATAATTTTGCTGAATTGGGAGACTTTGTAACATGTAAAGCCCCATAGGGTTTACATACCTTTTTTTAGCTATCACAGAAGTACAATAATGTTCCTGCATGTCCTACTGTGAGAACTGTTTCAAGTCAGAGGGTAATCTGAAATGCCATGGTATGATCATACATCCCTTAAGGAGTTAGTATAAAAGCATGGCATATGCTCTAATAATAACAATATGGGGAAGCCCTTAACACATTTTCTTTCTCCTTTTACTATATTTCTAAAAGGGCACCATGTATATGCTGTTGTGACTCTGAGGAATGTGCTGACAAGTGTAATTAATGTAAGTACAAATAATGCATCTGTAGTACATGTATGTATACACACAGCAGATCAGGGCCTCAGGCCTCAGACCACAGAAGTGGTGCTCTCAGGGTTCACCCGCAGGAGTCTAGATGCATTCCGCAGGTCCTGCAGTTGCTTGGCAGGCTTCCCCACACCTTCCTCAAACCTCCTCTCCACCACTGGGAGGACAGTTTCATAAAGAAAGGATGCATTCTGTCTTATGAATGCCTTCTTCTCTGGGTCCTGCTCACACCGCAGGCTGTAGTCCACATGCTGCACAGCAACCAGGATGACTTCCACCAGACTCTCCAGGAGCACCATGTGTAGTTCTGGAAAATACAGTTTCAACGCCTCCTCCAGGAAGCCCATGGTCTGCTTGGTGAAAGCTACCACTGTGTAGCTCAAGTTCACCCAGCAGTCATCTCCTGTGTACTGCTCAAAGTTACTGACCCCACAACTTCTCATCTCCTCTTTGAGCTTTCCCAGGGCCTCAGGGGTCATCAGGTTCATCCGACGCCACATCTCCTCCGAGTTTCGGTGCTTGGTGGCTTCAATGATTATCTCTTTGTAACTGTGCAAGGCCCCCTGGATGTCCTTCACCAGCAGGGCATGGATGATAAAGGTGAGATCCAGCCCAATCTCTCCCAGCTGCTGGCAGTGCTCCTTAGCCACCTTCACACACTCGGCTGCAGTGGACAGGCTTTCCTTGCTGTCAAAAACCTGCTTGCTGAAAGCATCCACAAACATGCCCATGGCAGACCTTGCCCAGACCACAAACGCAGAGTAGCAACCACTGTCCGTGCCTGCAAAGTCTGTCTCAAATTCCCTTGCGGTCTCCAGGAGGCTGGTAAAGAAGACGTGGCACAGCTTGTGAATGTAAAGCAGGGTGGCGCCCTCAATTCGAAGCTGGCGGATGGCAGTGTGCACAGCTGCTGCCCTGTTCCTCAGAAACAGCTCACAAGCCTTAGTGCACTGGCCTAGTCGGATCAGCTGAGACACTGCCCTGCGAGTAGCCTTAGGGCCACCTCTCAGAGATCGATCCGGGGAGAGCTCAAACACCAGTACCTCCGTGAGCTGTCGCACTCTTTCATCCACTTTGGCCCTCAGTTCTTTCACAGGAGGTGGGCTGGGCTTATCTTCCAAGTAATGATTCAATTTGTCCAGCAAGTCCACCGCACCCTCAAAGTCTCTCTGCGCAATACAGACATCCAGGTCTTCAGGCAACTCCTGGATCCACTCCATGGAGAGATCTACCTTTTCCTCCTGCACCTCGGGGGTGGCCAGTTCTTCATCATCCTCATCCTCAAACGGGTTGCTGCCCTTGGAAGTCACCGGTGGTGGTGCTCGAGGGGCAGCCGCCTCCTCCTGCTCCCTCCTCCTCTTGTCACTGAGCGCCCTTTTGGTTTCCTCCAGCACTTCCAACCACTCACGTTTAATCTTGGCGTTTTCTGCCTGAAAGATGCGGCTCTCAGGGAACATGAGCAGCTTGAACATGTCTTTCATAGGCGGGTTGTCCTTGACGTTGACCACCGCCAGGCGGTCCAGCGGGTAAAGCGCATTATAGCGGTACATGCCTCGACGTTGTGGCAGCCAGGTGGCCACCAGCAGACAATCATTCATGAGGAAGCCGTGCACGCGCTGCAGTTGGGCCATGTGATCCGCCTCATACTCCACCAGGTCCCCGTTGTACACCAGGTACTGTCCTGGCGTCTCCAGCAGGTCCCTGCACCCCTCCACCTTCTCCAGCAGCGTGGTGAGAGTGCGTTGCTTGCCCTCCTCGCCCGTACCTGGGCCCTCGCGGGGGACACCCGTCGGCCCGGACAAGAAGCCTGCCTGGGCCGCCCCGCGGTCCCGCGGCCCCGCGCCCGCCGCGTCCTCACCCGTGGAGGCGCCCGCGGCGGCGGCGGGCAGCAGTGCCAACGGGATGCTCTCCAGACTGCTCTTCTGCTCTGTCAGCAGGTGGCTCAGCTGATACATTTCGCTCTCCAGGTACGAGATCTCGCGCGCCGTCTCGATGAACTGCCGGTAGTTTTGATAGACGTTGCGCTTCAGGTTCTGTGCCGTCTCCTCCGCCAGCGCCTGCACGCGCTGCCGGTGCTCCTGCAGGTCGCGGTCGCCGTCCGACTGTTGCGACAGTTGCTTCACGTACAGCCGCGCCTCGAAGCCCCCCGACTCCAGCTGCCTTCGCAGGCGGCTCGCCCCGCTGTCCGACATGGCTGCCACCCGTCCTGCTCCCGCAGTTCGCAGTCGCTGTCACTCGCCGCCGTTGGGCCCCACCCGAGCCCGGTGGAGACGACGGCTGAGGAAGCGGGGCGGGAGCAACACCCAAACGCCTGCGCCAGGGATGAGCGCTGCATTGCGCCTGTGCTAGAGTCGAGACTCTCATACTGCGCCTGCGCCAGGGGCGGAGTGCCGACGGCGCGCCTGCGCGAAAACGGCAGCGACTTAAGGCGCGTGCGCGGACGAGCCAGTACGGAAGTCAGAGGAGGCTCGGGCACGGACTAGACTTGACGTGAAGTGCTGGACTTCAGGGGCGTTCAGTAAGCAGCCGGCTTCCTGGAGCTTTCCCTAGCCCGAGCCCCGCGTTCCTAAGCCTGTGTCCGCGGGGCGGCTCAGAGCCACTTTCGGTTAGGCGTTCGAGGCGAGTCCTCGCGCACCTGACAGCCAGGCCCGGAGCTCTCGCGAGACCAAGTGCGCTGCGCGAGCACGACCGGCGTCTTTGGAGTTGCTTGGGCGGGAGTAGCACGATGGACGAGGATCTGGTGGTTGCGCTGCGGCTGCAGGAGGAGTGGGACGTGCAGGTGGCACGGCGCGCGGCGGCGCGGGAGTCCCTGTCGTTGGTGGATGCGTCCTGGGAGCTGGTGGACCCCACCCCGGACCTGCAGGCGCTCTTCTTGCAGTTTAACGACCGCTTCTTTTGGGGTCAGCTAGAGGCGGTGGAAGTGAAGTGGAGTGTGCGCATGACACTGTGAGTGCGCCCACGAACGGCTCGGAACGTAGGGAAGGGAGAGGCTGCTGAGTTGTCGTTGGTGTCCCCGTCTCGCGGTGGAGGGAGAGGTCACCGGGAGACGTGCCCACACCCCATAGTGGGCCGGGCCAAAAGGCGCTCAGCGATGTACCAACAGGATTCCCTTTCTACCCATTGAATTTGAGAAATCCCAGTCGAGATTATAATCTGCCCTTGGATTACACCATCACGTAGAAAGCAGCCTGCAGTAAAGCAGGGCGAGATGTAGTATGTCGGTACATCCAACTTCACACCAACCCTATGACCCTTTTGAAGAAGTACCCAGGCAGACGTGGTGGCTAAACCATTCCCTGTCGATGAATGCCTGTGTGGAACAGAGTGGGTGACAGTGGGTGAGGGTGAGCAAGCGTTACTGCCTGCATTCAAGTGTACTCAGGAAAGCCGTCTCCCATCAGGGACTTTTTCCTGTGACCTGCACAAGAACCGGTAAGGATTGGCTTATATGTTTTGTTTTGCTTTTGAGACAGAGCCTCACTGTATAACCCTGGCTGGCCTGGAACTCAGAGATCTTACCTGCCTGTCTCTGCCTCCATTGTGCTGGCATTAAGGGCGTGCTCCATCATGAGAGGCTAGGATTTACTTTTTGATCGGTCTCTGCTGATTCTCGGTGAACCTAATCCACTGTTGTGACTGTTTTCCAGGTGTGCTGGGATTTGCACCTATGAAGGAAGAGGAGGAATGTGCTCCATCCGTCTCAGTGAACCTCTTCTAAAACTGAGACCAAGAAAGGACCTTGTAGAGGTATTCTTTGTATAATCCTATTCTCAGCTCAATGATTTGCAGGAATTTTTTTTTTACCCCAAGACAGGGTTTCTCTCTGTAGCCCAGGCTCTCCTGGAACTCTCTGTAGACCAGACCGACCTCTCGAACTCACAAAGATCCACCTGCCTCTGCCTCCCAAGTGCTGGAATTAAAGGCTGTCCCACCATTCCCCGGGGCTTTTTTTTTTTTTAATTAAAGACAGGATCTTGATAGTAGTCCAGGCTGGCTTCAACCTCAAGATCCCTTTGCCTCAGCCCTGAGGATTGGGTTTTATACCTGTACACTACCATTCCTGTCCAGGATATTTTGTTGAGTTTTAAGAGACAGTCTGTTAGCCAGGTTGGCCACGATCTTATATGCTTCTCTTGCTTCAGCTTCCTTAGTGAGCTGGCATGCACGAGCCCAGCTGTTTTTAGGGGATGATGGTGAGGGAGGTAGAGCTGGCCTGGAACTCTTGAACCTTCTGCTTCCACCTTGAGTGCCAGAATCGCATATACTTAGCTTTGTGTTCATTTAGACCTGCGTTATTTGCTCTTTTGGTGTTGGCATTTCCATATTGGCACCAGGAATTCCTTTTGTTATCTCTTGTGATGTGTGTTGCAGCGTTGTCAGAATTTCTTTTTGGCTTTGCTTACAGTAGGTTTCTCTACCAGAATTTTAAATTTATTTTGTGGTTGGATTCACCAACCTTTAGGGTTTGAGTTGGTATATAAATAGACCTTTTGTGAGCAATTGTAATTCCTCGATGGGAATTTTTCAACTGGGATCTGCAGAGCTTGAAATATTGTATTCAATGTTTTGTGTACTTGGGCCTTCAGATGACTAAGATCCCAGATTAAGAAAGAATGTATTTTCATCTTCATACATGCCCTAGAAAATTAATTTGCTGGTTTTCTGTTTCAGACTCTTTTGCATGAAATGATACACGCCTACTTATTTGTCACTAATAATGACAAAGACCGGGAAGGACATGGCCCAGAGTTCTGTAAACATATGCATCGAATCAACCAACTGACGGGAGCCAACATAACGGTACACTGAGCTACATGTGTTTTGGGAGCAGGGGCAAAACAGTAAATCAGACTGTCTTCAAACTCTCAATTCTAACTCAGCCTCCTAAGTTCTGGGCCACCAAGCCCAGCAGCCATTCAAAGTTATAATACTTCATTCATTCAGTAAAAGTGAAGGTTTTTCAGCCTTGAACAAGAATCCTACAGAAATGAGTGGACTTGTCTAGGCCCTAGGGGTAGAATGGCTGCAGAGCCAGCAGGCCTCTTCCTTGAGGCCTCCAGCAACTCCAGATCAGCATTTGAGGAATGCTTCCTTGGTCCTGTGTTACACTTTTCTGTACCCTCAGGAAGAGCTTCTCCCACATCTGTGACAGTCCCTTATCAGATGTTCTTTGAGTCATGACAGTGCAGTATTGGAGGAGTTATCACACTCAAGGCTGAGGTGTACCCTCCCTAAGCTTGTGATCATGCTTGTACCACTGAATTCTTCTGGATCTGTCTGTTGCCATGCAAGTGGTGTGACAACAGTTCCTTCTTTTTGAGACCTTGAGAGCAAGGACATGCAGTGTATTATTAGTACAGCTTGAGACTGGGAATTTTTGGATTTTCTATAGAAAGGATCTGGCTATTCAGTCCTTTAGCAGTTTATATTGTTTCTAGGAATTTACACTTAAGGAAATCTGTATGTTTTCTTCTGAGAGATATATTCCTCCCAGTTGGTGTCAACTTTTTTTCCTTGCTACAGGCTTATAATGGTGCAATAGTAAACAACATTTCAGTACTAGCCTTTTTGTTTGTTTGTTTTGTTTTTGTTTTTCTAGACAGGGTTTCTATGTGCAACAGCCCTAGCTGTCCTGGAACTAGCTCTGTAGATTAGGATGGCTTCGAATTCACAGAGAGCCACTTGCCTCTGCACCTCTGCCTCCTGAGTGATGGGATTGGTATTAAAAGCCAGTCCTAGCTTTTAATAATGTTCAATCTCTGAAACATTTAGCATTCATAGAGGTGTTTTATGGTTATGTTTTCCCCTATACATCAAAATCTTTTGTTTGATATGCTATTTTTATATATTAGAGGTTTTAAATTATCTGGTGTGTCCCTTTAAAGTGGACTTTTGAAAAGAAACTTAAATATAGTAGCTGGCTTTCCCAAAATAGAACTTTTTAGAAATGTCTGAGAAGTAGAATGTTTAACTAAACAAAAACCCACCCAAAGACTCCTTGGGTAAAGTGTCCCTGTAGAGTGGCTTACTTGTCTGTTGACTGCTGGACACTTCCCTCTGCCCAGGTCTACCACACTTTCCATGATGAGGTGGATGAGTATCGTCGGCACTGGTGGCGCTGCAATGGTCCCTGCCAGCACAAACAGCCCTATTATGGCTATGTGAAACGTGCAACAAACAGGGCACCCTCTGCCCATGACTACTGGTGGGCTGACCACCAGAAAACTTGTGGAGGCACTTACATAAAAATCAAGGAGCCAGAGAACTATTCAAAGAAAGGCAGAGGAAAGGCAAAACCAGGCAAGCAGCCGGCATCAGCAGTGGAGAATAAAGGTACCTCTCCATCTCGTCTCTGTGACGGTCTCTAGTGCATGGACAGTTGCTCTCCGGGAACTTGGTTAAGGTTATTGCAGGGCTGTTCTTTTCAGGTGTAAAGAACACAAAGTGATGGTGGGAGAGTGTACTTCACTCTGTAGACGTGAGGAAAGGTGAATTGGTCTCCCCTTGCAGTATCTGAGGGAGAGTCCAAGGCAAATGACTGTCAGAGTGAAAACAGTAATTGAACTAACAGCACCCAGAGTGTGGGTCCTGACCAAGCCGGCCCTTCCAATCTTGACTTCTGCCAAGGTATCTTGGGAGGATGGGAAAGGAGTTTGGCCTGTGTTTGTCCTTGTGTCATCCTTAGGATCTGCTCTTTCCCTTAGAAGCGCCAAAGAGGCAGCAGTTACTGAAGTTGATGCTTCCCTTTGCAAGGTTGTCAGTTTGGTGGGGTAGGCCTCAGGAGCCAAGCCATAGTTCCTAATCAGAAATGAGAAATCAGGAGACAAGAGAACTGGTGCAGAGGGAAGCCAGGTAAGAAAGCAAATGAGAGGAACCTGAGCACTTTTCTGGGAAAATTCCTTAGATTCTTCTACCTATAATTTCTTTATCCTTCCTGTTCTTTTAGTACAGGGCTCTGACTTCTGAAGGTTGCCTTCTCGTGTCAGTAGGTGACTACTGCACAGATCTGAGTTAAAACAAAATAATCCTTTATTTTAGATAAAACCACCATTTGCTCAGTGTTTGTTGCTGTGCCAATGTGCTGAGGAAGTCTTGTCTATTTCCTTTGCAGATAAGCTATGCAGAGGGGAGACCCAGCCGCTCATCCCATTCAGTGGAAAAGGGTATGTTCTTGGAGATACAAGCTCTTGCTCTTTACCTGGGAAGTTGAACACCTCATACATGGTTAATGAAGCCAAAGCTCTCTCAAATCAAGACCATTCAGCAAGTGGCCTGAGACTTGATTCCAACATTGAGGTGAAATGTGAACAGAATGGTTTCCCAAGTAAAAAACCTCATCTGGTCTCCCCTGTCCCCACTGCTAGTCACCAAAGTGTCCTAAGCAGCTACTTCCCCAGAGTCTCTGTTGCCAACCAAAAGGCTTTCAGAAATGTGAATGGATCCCCAGTAAAGAACGGGACCATTGGGGAAGGCACCAAGCATTCAGCCTCATCCGGTTCGCAGAGAAAGGTTCCGCCTTCCAGGGCATCCCTGAGAAATGCCTCCAAAGTAATGACATCAGCATCAGCAACTGTGGCATCTGCGACTGTGACATCTTCAGCCATATCCCAAGAGGAGAGTGCATCTGAAGACCAGTTCCCAAACAAGCGACCCAGGCTGGAGGACAGGACTCCTTTGGATAATATCATCAAGGAGCAAACACAGAGTGGTGGTGGTGATCTTCAGAATAACTCACGGCCCCCAGCCACCAGCACAGTTCGAAGTTCAAGCAGCTCTTGCAATCAGCGACGGCTGGTCAACTGTCCAGTCTGTCAGAGTGTAGTTTTGGAATCAGGGATTAATGAGCACTTGGACCGCTGCCTGGAGGGTAACAAAACCAATCTCCGACCTCGAAGAGTCTGAAACGGAATGGACCCCATACCACCAGTTGGCTTGTGGTGGTATTGCCCTCCAGGTGAATGACCTGTGGGTTACAATCTGGCTTATTACACCAGCAGTGTTCTATTTTTACATATACATAGTGAACAGTCGTAGTCTGTCTCCATCCAGGTGTGGTGGTATATCCCTGTAGTCCCAGGTACTCAGGAAGCTGAGGCAGGAACATCGCTTGAGACCATGACCCTGGGTAATGTAGGGAGCCACTCTCTCAGGATCTTACGTGAAGGTGCTGTGTTCACCTATGCCTTACCAGGACTTTGGCTATTTGTCCTGTATCGATGTATGATTTTAGGTACTTTAGTTTTCTCTTGTTCTTGAAGGTTTTAAGAGTATTGTTTGTGTAGTCTAAGATAATCTTATCAGGAGCCCAACAGTTGAACAGTTGAGCTGATGTTAATCCCTAAGATGTCCGATTCTCTGTCCAGACAGTGTGAAGCAAAGTAGTTCTAAAAGTACTCAGGGCCCTTTGTCTTTTTCTTTCTTTCTTTCTTTCTTTCTTTCTTTCTTTCTTTCTTTTTGTTTTTTTTTCCAAAATCCTAATAGTGGATAAGCTTTTTAAAGGATTTACTTTCTGTATAAAAGTGGTAGTGAATTTTAAAAACTTCTATACAGTAATTTATATTTTAAGTATAATATGTATATATAAAATCTGTCCCACCTTTACTAAAAAGTGGGACAGCTTTTAAAAACACTTTTGTATTTAAGGTAATTTTTTCTAGCTCATGACAGCTCATGCTTAAAATCCCAGCACTTGGGAGGCTGAGGCAGGGAGATGGCTGTGGGGTTTAAAGCCAGCTTGGGCTTAAGTTCCAACCTAGGCTATAGTGAGACCATGTCTCAAAAACAAAACAAAAACATTTTTTTCTCTGTCCCATATTTATTTGTCAAGAGATGGCAGCAGATTTTAGAGTAGATACAGAGTATAAAGTACAGTTGTTTTGGAATGTTAAAGCAGTTACTTGGTCCCAGATTTGAGGGGGACTTAAGTGAATGGTTAAAACTTGGTGCTAAAAAGTAACTGATAGATTATCTAACATCTCACAAAGCTGCCTAATTTCCAGGAGAGCAGAAAACTATCTGGAAGCAGCACCATGAACTCTATACCAACAGGGAAAGCAAAAGCACCATCCGAGTAGTGGAAGGGGCTTGCCATCTTTCCATGTTCAGCAGAGGGACACAGATACTCGGCTCAGGATTGTCTCATGGCTGTCCCTGCACCTTGCTGACTTTGGTACAAGGTCATTTATAGGTTGTAAGGTGCACAAATTTTGTGAGCATCTGGGTGAGCCTAGTTTGCCCAGTGTTTCACTTATAACTTCTTCCTTTACCTCCCCAAGGGGGGGGCGGTGGGGGAGTCCTGTTGTAGTTGTCCCTTTATAGTAACTACCATCTCCATCCCCAAAGTTACAGTTTACCAGAGGGTGTGAAGGTAGTGTCTTTGTTACTATGTGTAGAAGTTTATTTTCATTCCTTTGTAGAATTTGATGATGCCAGAAGTTTCCCCCTCACCCCAGTATTACTGAACCATTGGAAGAATCCCAGTACAGGGCTAAGTAATGCTGACAACACCCACTCAGGAGTGGGACTGGTCACGGTCTGTGTCAGCTCTGTCAAAACTCTGAATTCCCCTCCAGCAGTGTGCAAGTGTAGTGTCAACTTTTCAGCATTCTTGACAGGATCTTTAGCCTGTCATATTGGATAATAAGTTTTGGTATTTCTTAAAAGCATGAAGTTAAATAGTATTAAATGTTTATAGGTAAATGCTATTAAAGTTTTGTGTTTAAGTGTAGTCCATATTTTCATCAATTTTAACAGGTTATAGGCAAATAAGTATTTTTTTTTTTAACGCAACTACATAAAGTTCTAGGTCTATGAAGTAAATAAGGTTCATGCCTTTCTGGAACTACATCCTTGGTGGGGAAAGATGCAAACTAACCTCAGTGCCATATTGACAGTGCTGGGACTGGGTTTCACACTGGCACTGTTTTTAGTGAGTTGAGTTAGCTTTTTAAAAGAAAATGAATGGCCTCAATAGGTAAAAGAGGTAGTAGCTGGACACATCCTGTGGAAACAATCTGTTGAGGTGAAGTGCAGACGTGGTCCAGTGGCAGGAGGAAGAGAACAGGTAGACAGGTCTAGCCAGCATGAGGGTGGGACTACATCTTCTGTGTCCTGTAGTCAGTCATCTGTGCAGTGTCAGGTGACACAGGGCATGAGGGAAGAAGATGAACTGGGTGTAGAAGGTACCAGTGTAGTCAGGAGGCAACATCAGGTTCTGAAATGCTGGAGGGAAAGTGGAAATTTAATGAGCCCATACTTGTTAGGGAAAATTTGCTCCTAAGAATAGTTATCCCTGTAAATGTCATTTATATTAACATTCATCAGTGAAATGTGCTCCCATTTCGTTTGAATTTTCCCTTTGGAAGCAAATTTCTAACCTCACAGTGAGCTAAAGTTGGTTCAGCTCCCCACTGTAGGGCCAGAGCCATAGGTTCTATTTCTGTAGAAACTTGCTAGTTCATGCTGGCTAACAAAGCAATATGAGAAACTTTTGTTTGGCTTTGGCCAACTGTGGCACACACACCCTAACTGGATTGGAGGTAAATGGGAAAACACTTGACTAAAACCTCATCCTGTCTCATTGTTCCAAAACTCTAAGATTGTATTTTTTTCAAAGCTTTACAGAATTTAAAATAAATCAGAATGTTTTGATGTAAAGCGGTTGATGTGTCTTTCTGATTTGACTTTTGTGGTGCTGAGAATGGAACCTGTCTCCTTATATGTGCCTGGTTAAGTGCCCCACTGCTGAACTACATCCCCAGGCCTAACGTGTTCTCTTAAGATTACTACCCTGGCCATGCACCACCAGCTCTGGTGTTCTCATCTTGGTCACTGAGTTGGGTCTTTTCCTCCACTTTATTTGATACAGAATATTAGACCATATGAGAGGATGACCACAGCTGTCTACAAGTACATCCTCCTGAATGGCATACTCTTAAAAGAGAGCAGACATCAGAGGCTGGGATGTCATTTCATACTCACAGAGCACACAGGAATCAGATCACACATTTGCCATTTTGGTTGTCAGTCTTCCAGTAGCAACATCAACTGCTTGCTGTAGATAAGAAGCTGAAATTCCTTTCAAAGCTGGCTACTTGAAGCCTTGGAAACTTCCTTTCAATCCTTAATCTCTACTGATCCTACCTCTTGTTTTTCTCTTTACACATATTGTGGGTGGGTGGGTGTGGGTGTATGCATACTTAGAGGACAACTTTGAGAGTCAGCTGTCAAAGATTTAAAGTAGATTTCTTTTGTGTTATGTGAATATTAAGTAATTCATAACTGGGTAAAGATGTGTGGCACACATCTTTAATCCCAACGAGCAGAGGCAAATGGATCTCTGAATTCTAAACCAGTGAGACTGTCTCAAAAACTAAATAAATAAATACACATTTATGTGCTTACATATACAAACAAACATGGCCAGGAATAATCCCAGCACTAAAGGCTGGAAGATTGCATGGTGTGGTCTCAGTGAGTTTGTGTCAAAAAATATACAACCAATAGCTAGTTTCCTTTAAAATAATCTGATCCACAGTGATGTTAGTTGTTAGCTGAATATTTCCACAGCTGCTCCAAGGGACCAGAAGTGGAAGATGGGGGATGGCTTCTCCACACACTAGAGAAGCCATCGTTCTGACACTGCTGGGACCACATAGCACTGTAAGCTCAGCACAGATGTGTGTGCTCCACTCTCTTAACACTTCTGGGCAGTTTTATCCTAAGGGCTTCATTTCTATTCCATTGTGATTTCATTTTAATCCATCCTCCCTTGGGTATCTTAAAGGATTTTTTTGGGGTGGGGAGAATTTGCTTGTGCCACAGCATGCATATGCGTTGGTCAGAGGGCAACTTACAGGAGTCAGTTCTCTCCTACCACAGGGAACTTGGGTCAGACTTAGCAGTATTAGCTGCCATTTCACTGGCCCTTGGCTCTTGGCTTTGAGACACTCTTCAATCTTCTTCTCTTTGTTCCCTGAAGGGATGACTATTCCCTCTGCCTGCCTTTCCTTTTAGATTGTTTAATTCTGAGATTTGGGATTTTACCCCATGAATCCAGTTGCCATGAACCCCAGAGTTGGGCTTCTGCCTCTTTTGTATCATAACTGCAGGAATGTACCACAGTGCTGGACATGGTCCTCTAATTTCACATGTTAAGTTCTATCCAAGAAAATGCTCACTTGGGCGCATTTAGGTTTTTTTACACTTTACAGTTGCCAACTGCAGCCAAGTCTCAACTTTTATCCCTTCCTTTGGAAAGGCTTGATTTTCCTTCCTTGCAAACACAATGAGGCTTCTGGCTGCCTGATGCTCTTCAACACTTACCTTCAGAGAGAGGTAAAGTTACTTCCCAGAAAAGAACATGGCAGAATTAAACTAATGTGCTGCTTGTCTCCACTGTGCAAGAGGAGCACCAGGAAGAAAGCAGAGAATGTCCCAGGCATTGGGGTATGTTTTCACTAGGGCTGAGAAAAGCCACAGCCTGGTGCAAGCAAGCCATGAAACTGTAGAGCCCCGCACTGAGAACATTCTGGAGACTTCGACCAAGCCAAGTAGCATAAAGAACCAGGATCCACACATCAGAACAATACTGTCAGAATCTAAGGTTTCCACTGGGTTGAACTGTGGGCCTGAGAGCATCTATTTAGCCCATATCTTGGGTACCAGGAGTTGGGGACATGGAGTATGGGAAACAGGAAGCCGGACACTGAATAGAGGAGTCCAAGGTGCCGGTGGGCAGAGAGAGCCACCAGCCCAGGCAGGCTCAGGTTTCTAGCTACAGGACTCAAGGAAAGCAGGACACTGAGGATTAAAAGCTACTCCAGGCAAGAATGGTGTCTTAACCGAGCCCAGCGCTAGAAGCTGAGCAGGACTGCTGTTTGAGGCCAGCCTGACCCTGTCTCAAAACCAAACAAAAGGCTTGGAAGGTTCCATCAGAACTGAAGAGCCTGTTGACTCTGTTTCATTACATTAGCACACTCAGTGTTGGTTTTTAGCTCACTCGTCCTCTGACCCACTCCACTGCCTATCACAGGACAGTTTTCCAAAAACTGTTTAGGTTTTTTTGCAGATTGGATCTTACTATGGAGCCCTGGCTAGCCAGGTAGGCCTCAGATTCACAATCTTCCTGCTCTGCATCTCAAGTGCTAGGATAAA